GGGAGGTGCTGCTGAATGACGGGGCAGCATTTCCCTCACAGAAGCACGTGGACAGAGCGTGTGTAAAGTGAGTAGTAGAGGAGACTCCTTCTCTGTCCACTGGAGCAGGCTGCCTCTGGGCAGGGGTGTGGGCCACTTCCAGATCTGCACAGGGTTTTTCTCACACTCAGTAAAGGCATGCCAACTGACTCTGAGTGAGACACCCACTCCCCTTAACTTCTGAGAATTTCAATCCTCAACTGTGCTGGCCATCCAACAGGGAGCAAGACCAGGGGAGTGGCATCAAAGGGCATGGTTCTTACCATTGAGGAAGGTGATGGATCTGGGGATCTTCTCCCCAGAAACATAAGCACAGGTCCCTGCCCATCCCTACCCCCATGGGGCTTTCAGAGATCACCCAGTGGCTCTCAGTGAGCCTCCCCACAGGAGCCCTGGAGTTTGGGGGGCCTCTAAGGATCATAGGAGTCCTGGTGTGACACTGTGGGATAAAGCACTGGACCATAAGGTCTGTTTGAACCCGAAGGTCGGCAGTTCAAATTCACAAGCTGCTCCTTGGAAACCCTATACAGGGTGCTATGAGTAGGAATTAACTCAATGACACTTCACAACAACAGGGATCATAAGGGAGTCCTGGTATGGAAATGTAGGGTTAGCACTAGACCGCAAGGTTGAATTGAACTGCAAAGTCAACAGTTCACAACCACCAGCCACTCCTGGAAAACCCTCTACAGGGTCGCTATGAGTCGGAACTGACTCCATGACACTTAACAAGGATGATAAGAGGATCCCTGGAAGTGCTCGGCTGTGGCTCCAATGTACCAGCTGCTTCCAGGGAGGAAGATGTGCCAGTCTGCACCTGTCAAGGTTACAGTCTCAGAAACTCTATGGGGTAGTTCCACTCTGTTCCCCAGGATCATTGTCGACATGTATGCATATAAGCTACATTGTCGACATATATGTATGTATGTTAAGGATTTGATGCGTAAAGGAAAGGTTGGCCTTGCAAACCTACCCTGAGGTTGCTCAGAAGAAAGGCTTGGTCCAGATTCCCTTCTGAAAGGTCCCAATCATGACAACCCTGGGGCCATGTTTCTACTCTGACACACACAGGCTGGGCTTGACAGCAATTGGCTTGGTTTCGGGTTTGTTTCAGGGATCACAAGCAAGTTCTCTACGGATGCACTCTCAAAACTGTTTACAGCAGTTCCCCGAAGCCCGAAGATGTGCCCAGGCATGGTTCCAATGATCAATTCACCCACAACGCACGTCCATGGGGATCAAGGCAAGTCGGCCCAGCAGAGCCTCCCCCGAGCCGTCCCAGACCCCAACAGCAGCCCCCACTTACCATCATTAGCTCTTTCTGAAATGACTTTCTGTCTTTGTTGTCCAGGTTGTTACAGTCTTCCTTCAACTTCTCCAGGACGGAAGCCACACGCTCTGACTCACTGTCCAGCTCCGCACGGCAGAAGAAGGTGAGCGGCAGGTTCACGTAGCCCAGGGCGTCCGCGAAGGCACGCCAGCTGCTGATGTTCTCCATGAGCAGGGTGCGCACCGAGGCGTAGATGTAGGTGAGGAACTTGCAGGGTCTCAGGATCTGCTCCAGCAGAAGAGAGGTGCTCAGTTCCGGACCCGAGAAGAAGCTGGGCTTGACCTTCCCAACCACGAGCACGTTCTTGGTATGCACGAGCCCGATCTTGCCCTGATAGTAACCGATGTACCACTCCTTGGTCCACAGCTGTCCCTTGAGCCGGATCTTCTCTTCGCTGAGGAGCGCGATCACGTCTCCCTTCTTGTATTCTAGCAGGTAGTGGTTCTTGCTTTGCCTCACGACCGTCTTGAGCAGCTTGCCAAACTTGAGGCTGGACACGGGGCGGTCCTGGAAAGTTGGGTACTTGGCAGTAGCAGCAAACGGGGACAAAATGATCTTCCCGACTTCGTTCTTCTTGAGGAACCGCCTCTGCCCGGACGACTTGATGGCACTTTTGGGAGGGGGCTGGGGCGTCTGGACACAGAACTGGGTCAAGATGGCGTCCTGGTCATCCTTCACCTGGACTCTCAAGGTGAAGTCGGAGAGCTCGCTGGGGCTGTGGGAGGTGATGGGGAATATCAGACGGTTCACCTTGCCCAGTTTCATCTGGAACCCTCTCACCACCTTGGCTTGCTCACTGGTCTTCACCTCGTAATTGGTCATGTTGGAGAACATGCAGATTTTGAGATCCTGGGGCCTAGACAAAACAAACTGGTGCTTACCCCATAGCTGCAATGCCACTGGGGCGGGGCTTGGGGCCTGGCGGGTGACCTCACTGACCAGCAGAGTCTTGGGGGCACAATCATGTCCAAAAAGGGTCACAACTGTTTTGAAAGATGGATGTATGTGTTTGGGACCATAGAGCCCCACTGTAACCTTCTTCTTGATGAAATCCCACACCGTGGATGGGTAGAGGACGTTGGGGCTATGGGCAATGAAGGCCAGGTACATGCAGGGCTCCAGATTCTCCAGGTGGACCTGAACCGTGTCCCCATAGCTGTAGGCGAGTGGGATGGGGACATAGGGACCCTCCTTTGAGTCACTCCTCAGGCACTGAAGACCCACTGAGCTTTTGCTAAAAATGTCACTTTTTACCTCGGCGGAAACTTTCATTTCCAGGAGGATGATGGTTCTGACCTCCAGGTTGCTCAGTTTGATCTCCAACACCGGGCTGATGGAACTGGACTTGTCACTGTTGAGCCCCAATGGGGGGTCCAACAGAGCCTTCATGGAGATCTGCTGTGTGTCCCCTGGAGCCACGTGACCTTCGGGCACACGGACAGTGATGCTGGTGTCGGGGAGCTGCACAGCACCCCCAGAACTATCCAGCTTGCACACAATGTTCGTCTCCACCGCTTGGGTCTGGCCCCAACCAGGGCTCTGGCCAAGCAAATCCAGGTCATGGCAAGATCGGGCCAGCTTTCGGTGGTTCAGCCAGGCAGTCCGAAAATCCTCCCGGCTCTGAAACTGCTCGGGAGCGGGGGACTTCAACCCAGTGAAGAAACTCGAGGACGTGGGGGCATCGGACTTGGCTTGGAGGACGGACAGTTCAGAAAGACTGTAGGAACGCTTGCTTCTAAAGAAGGGGTTGTCGCGCATGACTGGAGGCTCCACGCCGAGTCCGTGCGCAGATGGAAGCTCATCGAAGATGTTGCTGGGGCTGGTGGTGGTGGTTGTGGTGGGTTCCGTGAAAGATGATGGGCCTGTATCGAAAAGCAGCAAATCCACAGTGCTTCGGGGGTCCAGCTCATCGAAGCTGGACATCGCTGGCACGTTCCCGTTCAGAAACGGATTTGTTTGGACTCCGTTCCAGAAAGGGTTATTGCTGTATCCTTTGCACGATCCTTTCTGGTCGTCTGTCCAGCCTCCCAGCAAATCCAGCTCCTTGGCAACTTCGTCAGGGCTGTCTGGGAGATTGTCAATCATTCCGCTGTCGCTCAGCGTTGAATTTCGGTAATTTAAGGGCTGCACGTAAGAGGCAGGGATGTAACCCATCTCTGTGGTGTTGTGGGCGTACCACCACTCGCCGCCGGAGGTGTCCAAGACATATAGATGGTCACCCTTGGAGAACTTCAGTGTGGTGAAGTTGGTGGGGCAATAGTCCTTGATTGCGATCACTTCCTTGGCGTTTCCAAAAGGCGTGGGATTGTCTACGAGCAAGGCACTGGGGGAAGGCACTGCACGGAACACAAAGAGACA